CTTGTCCAAAGCAGTCACTGCAGGGTCAGTAATGACTGAGCGCAGACAAAAAAAAAAAAATTAATGTTGAGCTATTAGCTGACCAAATCTGCTGCCTGTGCAAACAAAGAAACAAAAGTTAAACCACCCAAACCCCAAACTCCCTCCAGGTTAATACTATCCAAGCTCAGTAAACTGTGTGCATATAGTGTATGTGCTAGGGTTATACTGGATTTGGTTAAGACTCTCGTGTGAACATAGCCCTAATGAATTTCATGATTGAGTGGGGATTTGAACCCTGTTTAGTTTGATGTTCTGACATTATATCTTGCTGAGAAATAAATATTGAGTGGTCCCAAACCAAACTGTAGTCGCAATGTTCCAAGATAGCTAATTCAATAATGTCAAAATGCATTCTTCTCATTTGCTTGTACTCTGTCAATCTCATGCGTATCTTCCCAGGGTTACTCTTACTCGAGAATCAAGGCCAGAAGGAAATCACCTTTTCTCCTGCACCAGCATCCCATTCTTTGGAAGACACAAGTGCTGAAAGAACCAACCAAGGATTTTGGACCATCTCTGGGCCCAGAAGCCAGGAGAAGCCAGTCCACAACGAGCATGTTCCCATATCATTGCCGCTCCCAGATAATGTACCCCTTGAGCTGCAGAAGGTTGCTGTGACTACAGGATATGATCCTGAAGGTGCTTCCGTGGGGACCAGCATCCGAGGTGACTATCCTCAAGGGATAACCCAAGCTGGAGACCATGAAGATGATTTTTCTGGTAATGGAAAAGTTGTTACTCCACCAGAACCCCTTCTGTCCTCTGAGCACCAGAGGAGCAAGCCACATATAGATGAGGCAAGTGGGGAGTATGATTACAGCTCCCGAGAAAGTCAGATCAAGACAATGAGCTTTGTAGAAGAGCTTCCAGGACCTGTTTTTGAGGGCCACCAAAACTTGCCAGGGGATGCTGAAGGAGAAACCCAGCCAGAAGCTTTACATTTTGTTAAGCAACAGAGGACAACAAGCCTCCTCCAAGGGGCAGGAAAGGACACCATCTTGAAACAGAGCAGCCAACGTTCAGAAGAAGTGGCCGAGCTGAGGGGACAAGAAGCTGTTACTCTCTCACCAAAAGACATCTCCCCAACTCCAGGAGATATGTATTTCCAGGCAGCTCGATTCCTCCCTGGGAAACCTGAGGCGTGGTTGGTGGCTGACGGTGGCCGAGGTAGCATGGAGACCACCGGAGAAAACAAAGCAATCCTGGGGCCTCCAGATAGTTCCACTTTTACTAAAATCTTAGATCTTTCCGAGGCACAAGGCAGCTGGGAAGTGGTTACTCAAAGCATGGATAGCCACCTTGAATCTGCCATGATAGAGCAAAGTCACTATGAAAGCTCAATGGAAGGCAATCATGGTTACCATTGGCCAGATGGTGCCACTGCAGGGCCTCCTGCTCACAGCCCCACCAGCCTCTTTTCTTCTTCTCAGCCCTTTCCAGATGAGGCCATGGAACAAGCAGAGACCACAGCCCTGAATTTGCCTGAGACGAGGACTCCCTTCATTCTCCACAACACCTCAGAGTTTATGCTCCTTCAACAGCCAGCCGCCTTTGAGGACCTGCTTTCAGTTCCAAGTTCACAACCTTCTATCTATCCCATTGAGAGAGGGGTGGAAGACAACGTAGATCAGGAAGGGTACATCCCCTCTGCCCCTGGAGAGTTTTTCCCAATGGAGGCTGACAGTGGGAGTGGAGAGGAGAAAGAAGATGCACCAGCACTCAAAGGAATCACCCATCTGGTGTGGGCCCAAGAGGGGAATGACAGCTTGCTTGGTAAGAATCCTGCCCCCGCCCCCATGTCTTTGTGTGTGGGGGAAAAGATGGTGATGTGAAGACAGGTAGGCCACTAAACTTACATCCCCTCTTGTACTAATTCTCAGTACGTACCCATTCATCAATTAATGAATTCTCTTGCTTGGCAGTGATGTTCTAAGATCTATCAGCTGGAAGAGTCTTCTCCATCCTGTGTGTTCTTCATATGGGTAGACTTCAACTTGCAGAATTCCCAGCAACAGCCTGGCTAGCCAGGGAGATTCTGGAAGTTGAAGGCCCAAGATCAGGAGGGCGCTCAGATTCAGGGGAACAGAGGCCCTTTTCCAATGTGGTCTTGGATTGTTTTTGTTATCTGAAATTGGTGAGGTTCAGGACTGAACCTGATCAGCATACAAAGACGTGTTCTGCCACTAAGTTGTTGAGATACCTGGTGATCCTAGTAGCTAGATCACTGATACAACTAACATGCTCTTTTCCCACTCAGGTGGATAACAACCTCGGCAACTTTAAGATGGGTGGACTTCAACTCCCAGAATTCCCCAGCCAGCATGGCTGGCTGGGGAATTCTGGGAGTTGAAGTCCACATGTGTTAAAGTTGCTGAGGTTGAGAAATACTGTGATAACAGATACCCAGGTCTTAGGCAAGGAAAAATCTTTTCTGATCCCTGTTATGTGATCCTTTTTAACAAGAATTCCAAGGACTGAATGAGGGATGTTTTGCATTAAAAACAGGTGGACTCAGGTCATTTTTTACTTTGCCCCACCTCTGTTGCCTGGTGTCCCAATCTGCAGAAGCCCAAATCCAGATTCCTTTTCAATTTCCACTAGAGGAGTACCAGGGCCTAGGAGTCCAACTCAAGGAGCTGTTTTCAATTTCTCTATTTTTCCTCCAAAGTTCTCTGCATTGTTTGGGGGCGCCTCTGACAGGTTCTATTGCTACATCGATTTGCTGATGGCCAAGCTAAATGCCTGGGCAAAGGTTGAGTTTTGTCCTAGTGCTTTTGAGAGGTTTGGGGAAGGAAGAGACCAGGAATGAGATTCGGGGAAAAGGGAAAAGTGCAGAGAGGGAAGAGACCCAGTGGGGTTAATATTCACCGGCAGACCGTCCTGGGAGTGTCAGTGGATGAGAAAATAATGTTCCCCAGGCCAGGACAGCAGACCTCTGTTCCTTTCCATAGCTGCAGAGGATGGAAAAGTTTGACCGTCGGCCTAATTCCACTTATCCTCTGCTCTTACAGCTAACCGAATTCTGTCCCCCAAAGCATGTCTGGATGTCATATTTTTCCTAGCTACAAAGGCTTTGAACAGCTAAACCCATGGGACTGTCATTTGTTACGATTTGAAACGGGTCTTCTGACACAGCCATTCTAAAGTCCTTGCTCAAATTTTGCAAAGCTCATGTAATGTACCTTTGTGGAAAATAAATTCTGAGTATTGATTAACTGGATTTATTATCCTGTTCCCAATGCAGTTACAAAGCATAGCAAGTCCTCCTTGTGCAACCCAGCAGCCTAAGATATCTCCATAGGGTTTTTTTGCCCCCTTAACTATACAGAATGCTTCCACACAGTTTCCTGACTCCTGGAGGCCTGAACTTTCCCCTTTATTTCTTCTTCCCCTTTGGCCATTTTGACCACAGAGCTGTGGGTATCGTATACCTACGCTTGCCATTAGAAGAATGATTACATACTTGACTTATGTAGGAACACGATGGAGTACAAAAGTAAGAATTTCTGGTTTAGTCCCTAAATCATTACGATGGAATGGCCTGGATTGTGGAATTATTAAAGCACCCTTGAATCTGCATAAAAGTCTTTCCCCCACCCTAAATAGCCTGTGTCTTCCTGTTGCATCAGGAATTATGATGGAGCTTCTGCGTGGAAGTTGTAGAACTGTGCAGGGATTCAGACTGGAAGGGCATAATGTGAATCGGTGCATACCTAGGCCCATTTAGCCCTTGTCTGGAATGCCTTAACTATGATGAATCTTTTCCTGGATTTGCACAACTGTGTGTGACACTAGAAAAAGATGCTGCACAGCCCAAGTAGGTTGACTCTGAGGCTAGGAGTCAGCATTTCTGAGTAGACTGGGCAGAAGGACAAGTGATCAGAGCTGAATTCTCCTCCTGGTCTTATATTTCAACAGGGCAGGCAAGGTAGTACTGTATCAGCATCACACTGACTTGTTGAGTGATGGTCTTTCCAAAGAGATTCTGGCAAATGAAGAAATTCAGACAATGAGCAGTTAAGGAGGTGCAAAATTTTGATGGATCCCCATCTTCCTCTGATAGATCCCAGTGAGTCAACTGCCTGCTTAGAGATGAGTCTAATAAGGCTCAGAAGTTATGGGAGGGCTTGCCTGGGACATGACTTCCATTTGGCACATAGTGGGGAAGGGATATAGCCATGGTTTATGCTGAATTGTTCTCTCTACCCCCGAGAAACAGCAAAGGTAAATTTCTAGGATTAAATCAGAGCTCAGCTAGAGACGATAGAATATTTTCTAACTCCAGCAGCCAGTTTCCATCTGACATTTTCCAATCAGAAAGTTGTAGGCTGAAGCTCAGGCATCGTTACAATCAAGCAGTCTCAAGTGACAGTGCTAGGAAGAGCATCAAGAAAACATACCATGGTGGCCTTCACCAACATTACAATCTAGAGTTCTCCAGAAGTACTCCGTGTCAGGTCGAATAAACTTCAGCTTAGAGAAATCTCCTGAATCAGTAATCAGACTCCTCTGTTCCTTGAAAGCCTCCCACGCTCTGGAACGCAGACTTAACAAACAGAAGTGCCTGGATTTTGTTGCCATTTCAAACAATTTCATGAGGATGATGATGTTGGGGCTACCAGATTTAGGCTGCAAAAATTTGGTAGCCCTAAAGGCATATTATTCTAGGCTGGAATTGTCCCCAAAGTCTTGTACATGAAAGCAAGCATATTGCAATGGTGGTTTAAGAGGTAGCAAGTGTCAGGTTCAGCCCAAGAAACCTAGTGGGACGATTCAGGAACAGTTCAGTTACTTTATTAGTTTACACCTACTAGACAGAATCTCGCCAGACTAACTCTAACCCCCAAAGACTGCAAATAAACACTCCGAA